TGGGAACTACTACTACTAACATTTGTTGTGTGTTTATTCTATTCTTTGTATTAGTTTATAAGATAAAACAATGACAACTAAATTGAATTAAAAATATTGTTAGAATCAAAATATTGTAATTTTTTTGTAACAGTGTGTAAAATATTTGCTTTGAATAAGAAACATTTAACCATGTTAATAATTTTTGTTTGAAACTTTTCTTTAAATACTGTGAAATAATGGATTTTTTTTTTTCAATTCATCTGGTATTTTCAGCATTGAGGTCTTCATTCAGTCAGAATCTGATCCCAGCCCATATACAATAAGCCCAAAGTTTTCAAACATAACATTAAAAACTAAATATTGATTTTACTCAAGTTAGAACGAAACAACTGTCACTTAAACTCTTTCTGTAAATAATCTCCCCGTCTTGAACATGTTTGCAGAAAAAAAAAAAAAGAATAAAAAGTCACAACTTCCTCAGGCCAACAGTGTGACTCTATGTAACCCCTGAGGACCCAGAAGTGTGGAACTGCGCACCACTACATCCTGATGTTTAACAAGGAACTCCTTATTGCTCAAATTTTATGAACTGCCAACTCATTGCAACAAGCCGTCCGCTCAGGAGATGTGGTGGATTATTTAAGGCTCCAGAGAGACCCACCAAATATGTGCAGAAATCCCCGTGTCCTCAAATTACTTAAAAGAGAAAGGAAATTTTTTTTCTGCAAAAAAACAACAAAAAAAAAAGTCAAAAGCTTCCCTTCACAAAAGGTGCAAAACTTTCCATTCATACCCAAAGTCATAATGAACTTCTCTTAAATAAAAGCTTACCTTAGCTTTAATTAATAATGAAACTGAATAAAAACTTGAGAAGTTACTTTTTTAAACGCACCCAATCAACCCAAACCACAGAGCAAGAATGTTCTCAGAGTACTGAAATGTAGCTTTCTGGCAGGAGACTACAGTAATAAATAGCTCAGGCTGTATGTATCTGGATGGAAATGTCTTATAATACCTCACTGAGTCTCAGGTGGATAATCTGATTGCTGCAGACTTAATGGTTCCATTTGCAGACACAAAGACAGTCATACGTCTAAGAAAGAAAAAAAAAAAAGGCTACCAGGACGCAGGGGGTGAAGGGTGACATGTGTTTACTATAACGCCTAAAGAGATGATGCTGGAAAAAATTTGAAATATGATTTGGTAGACTGCACAATATATTGTTAATTTATCATTAGCGTAACATGCATATCACAAAGAACTGCTAGCGCAGCAGTAACTGCTAGCTAATTATTCAAGTATTTGGCAATCAGCCCCACTATGCAATAATAGATGTTGTGTTTGTTGTTGAGATATAGATTTTGAACTGGTGAAGTCATTAAAGAATTATAACCAAGTGGTTTTATTGCCAAAACAACAATAAAACTCTCGTTTTTGAGATGATTTTTTTTTTCCAGTAGCAAGATGGACAACTCCTTACCTGAACTCTATGTATCCGATAACAGCATACCTGCAAGTTACATCAAATCAAATCTAAGACTTTTTAAGACCTTTAAATTAAATTTAAGACCAAAAAAACATAAATATTGGAGATGGATGGGAGATCCTACTGTATTACAGTCAAGCAAAGCAAAAGCAGTGACACTTCTGGGTTCTGTTTGTGGCCTTTGGCTGCAGCTTTGTGCTTCTCATGCTGCATGAGGTTGGTGGGCAACAGAAGTGAGCCAGTAATGAAACCTCATCCAGCCAACTAGCAATAAATTTACACTTTTGCCAAAAATGTATAAAAGCTAGCTATGTAGCTAGCAAGGGTATATTAGCAGCTAGTTAGTGGTAGCCTGAAGTAACCAAATCTATATACAATGTTTCGCCTCATAGAAAAGTCCTGTGAGAAAAACAACTACGTACAATACAGAAGATTAAATTGTCACGTGAGGACAACATTTATGACCTGACTATTTCAGGCCAACTTACGTTTTGTTAAGAATGCAAGACATTTTAGATACACAAATTCAAGACTTTCTAAGGATACTCAGACACCCTGAATAAACCCAAAGAAAGAAGATAAACACTAATTATTTACCACACAAGTCATATGACTGCAACACTCACCAACATTACTACTGCATGTGTCATACTTCAATAATATCAATGATGCAAAATATTACTGAGTGCTTTTACTTTTTATCTTAAGAAGATGTGAGAGCATTGTTACTTTCCTCACTAAAAATAGTCACAGTCTGAACTAGTGGTGCACAGATAAATCAGCCCCAATTTCCTTCATTTTGGGTGATCGACCGATACATAAATGTGAAGCCACTGCCAACTCAGCAACTTTCTTGTTATATTTAGCAACATTTCAAACAAACAAACAAAAAAAATTATAATAAAAAGAAAAAAATCAATGTTGGACAAAATTTCCATCTGCAGGCTTATTGATCATCATCAGATTTATAACTGATCTTCAATCAGAAAGAAAACTACAATCGGTGCACCCCTAGTTCCCTAGTTGTTTTCCACACAGAAAATGAACCCGTCATAACTGTCGACAATATGGTTTGGGTTTTACCACGCAGGACACTGAAACTGAACAAGTTTCAGTGTCCTCAACACAATCTGTTGAGCTGCACTACCCTGCTGCAAACTTTCTCCACCCAGAGCATTGAGTCAAATCCTACATTTCCTGAATGTCAGTTTACTTTTCCCTCCATCCCAGAGTCCACCAGGATCCACATTACAAAACAACCCTGCTGCACTGTGTTGAGTGTGACATTGCCTGATGGAAATGAAAGGGGCAATTTGCATTAGCTTTAAGTGAAACGCCCTCACAGCATTTCCCTGCAGGGTAACAGAAAGACAAGGCTGTAGAGTCACACAAGGCGATAGAATCAATTCTAGATTAAATGGCTTCAGAGTGGAAAATGTTTGCAGAACATGGGCTTGTAAACTCACCCTGTGGGCACCGGATGTTCACAAAACACAGCAGCCGGGCATCTAGTTAAAAGCCTTCCCCCCCATCTGACGAGTGAGTGCAAGTTAACAGCAGAGAAAGCGCGCCTACAACTGTTCCGACTTCGAGGCTCCATTACGTTACAACTACAATAAGAACGTAGCAACAGCGAGGGGAAGAACACTTGTTAAAGGGTTCCTGCCTTTCAAATCCTACATGAAAATCCCAACGTGTGGGACGGGGTTCGGTTCCTGGCCGTGACACGCCGTCTGAGCTGTGATCCTTCTGTGTTTGAGGTCTCTTTCAATTCCCCTCTTGTCGAAATAAAAGAGGGAATGCAAAAGCAAGACGGCTCACTCTGGTTTAAAGGAAGGAAGAGAAAAAAAGGGAGGGAGGAAAGAAGAAAAGGAAAAAAAGGAGAGAAGAGCCTGACTGTAGCTCTTTTCTTTAGCCAGATAAATCATCAAAGCATGAGCTGCATTATTCAGCCCTGCAGAGTCTGCATGACAACACAGCCGACAAACAAGAGCTCTTTTCAAACCAGACGGCCACTACAGTAGGGCAGAGCTATTTCCAACCACTTGTGAATGGAGCTCCCTCCGACTAGTGAGACGTTGGGGACGAGCAAACTTAGTGAAAAATCAGCCGCCTGTCGTTTATCTCTGAGAACACACACACACACACACACACGTGTGTTAACCCAAAATGCTGCAGGATTTGCTTTTCTGTTTCATGTTGGCACAGTAGTCAATCAACACAATCTTCATGAACCTCCCATCCTCCCATCCATCCATCCTCCCATCCATCCATCCATCCATCAATCCATCCATCCCTTGGTGAGCTAATTAGGCGCCCTGTTGTATCACATAGTCCAAGCCCGGCTATGTGTATTTTTCCTGGCTAGCATCACCGTGGAGCCACAGAATAGTGGAACACCGTCCTTTCTACCACACACACACACACACACACACACACACACACACACACACACACACAAGTAAGCAAACACACTTCTTGGTTACAATGTGGCGTCAGCACAACCACACTCAGCTGCCAGATCTAAATCTAATATCCTGTGTTCATCTCATGTTGCCCAGCTCTGGCCTCAGCACCTATGGAAATTACACATCACAGTAACTCTGTCCGTCTGTCTGTCTGTAGACTGTCAGTGGGTCTGTCTGTCTGTCTGTCTGTCAGTAAGTACATACGCCTGTCTGGCTTAGGAGGTGTCTGTGCCTCTCTGTTTATATCTTTGTCGGTACTTGTCTGGCTGACTGGTTATGAATCCACCCGCCTTGTCTGCTCTGTCTGCTATGTGGTCCTCTACTGTTTGTTTGTCTTTGTCTGTCAGTGAATCTGCCACACTGCCAACAAATACCCCCATCCCATGGCTGTCTGTCTGTCTGTCCCCTGTATTGCTAGCAGCCCTGTCTGCTCTCCTAAACGCCCCTGCCTCGGCCATAAAGAGGAACATCTGCAGTGGATCAAGCAGGCAGCCAGCAGCAGGGCAGAGCTGATAATGATAGTTTCTCTCTGGGCTACTCGGGAGAGCAGACAGACATAACATACCATTCCAGCGTTTCCTGTCTGCGCTGACAGGCAAACTATTTAACCCTCTGTGGTCATTCCTCCTCAGCATATGCGCTGCTGCTTGGAGGACAAGGAATACTTCTAGAAAACTACAATAAAACTATAGCAACTCGTTAAAGTAACCCCGAATGTTACTATTTCAACCATAAGCCAGCCATTACATGTTTAGAGCCTTTATTCTTCGACAGCGTCTTTAATATAGCAGACTATGTCACTTTCGTTGAAATACACGCATTGAAAACAGTAGGTTTGCATTAAGTTAGCGAAAAGTTTGCTCCAGACAGCGTAAACAAACTGCAGCTCCTTAAAGAGGACTTATAGGTTTAATGAGAGGAATTTTCAACCCACCGCGTAGCTGTTAAAGATTAAGTCTAACATGTTGTCCTTCTGTGGCTACACAAAACGCATTAAGCACTAAAGTCTCTCGGAAGCTTTTTAAGGTCAGGAGACCGTGAGAGGAGCAGCGAATGTTACTCACATATCTCCATTCCCTGTGGTTGGGAAGCGGTGCAGTTGCAGGAGCAGGTGACATTGGAGTTGCCAGGGCCGCCAGGGGCCGTTACGTTTTGCATGGGGCTGGGCAGACCGGGACACCGCTCCGGGGAGAGAGCCGCCGCCACCTCCGCCGCCGCCGTCGGGACACCCCGACGGAGAAACAACAGGAGGAAAAACTTCCAGGCAGCGGCAGCACGCAGTCTGCCGCTACGAGTAAACTCCCCCGACAGCCTTCGCACTTAGTGTCACACGTCTCGTCTCACGCCATGTTTCTTCCAGGGCGGCTCGGACGGAGAACTGGAGCTAAAATTCGGGTTCGAGCCATCGCTTAACGCATTCTGGCACCAGCTCTTCTTTCCCTTCCTCCGCTGCTGAGGGCAGCTGTCCTTCCTCTGTTAGTGCGGAGCAGACACAGAGGGTTCTGGCCCCGCCCACAACAGACAGATTTTCACTGGGACCAATCACATTTCTGCAAGGGAGGGACTCAATGGCTCAGAAGCCGCTACCTTCAAGTACTGAAAAGAAGTCAGAATTTTGACATAGTTAAGAAAAAGCATCCCTAAACAAAAAATAAAATAAAATCACTGCAGCATGACTCATTATGGCAAAGAATTTTTTTTTACATATATTTTTCATGTTTGCTTAGGTGATGAAAGATATATTTAAATAATAACTATTTAAGCAGAAATTGGTTGTTTAATAAAGTCTAGGCTTGTGTGACAACCTGGCATGCTCTATTATTGTCGCAACGTTCATGCAATTATAACCCAATATCAAAAGCAACCCAATGTGTGCTGCTGACATTCATCACTACACTATGCAGGAATGCGCGAAGAGTACGTGAAAGCACCACCAGGGTAACGCTAGTTCTCCTGAGGATGTCTGGGTGAAGGGGCATGTTTGTGTGCCTTAGCCATTTTTTTTTTCTTTTTTTTTTTTTTTCAAAAGTGTAAGTATTTGTATTGGTGTGAGTGTGTGTCAGTGCTTGGGGTTGTGGGAAGGTTGACCTGACACAGAAAACCGGCAGACGGCCGGGTCACAACTGACAATGGCTGTGTGAGAGCAGAACAGGGGAGATGAGGAGGGGGAAGGAGAACTAGTTGGTCTGGTGTGTTATTTAGAGAGGGTGGGGAGAGCGTTTCAAGTTTCAATCCCTTGTTACGGCAGACCACAGCCAATGGAGACGCTTGTTTTAGGGATCTAACCTTGAGGTGACCCCCTCTGGCCCCCACCAGTGCTGGTCTTGCGGTTCAGTGGCACATGTGCAGCTGAGAGGGAAGAATCTTCACCAAAACACAGTCCCTGCTAATGTAACCAAACGAAAAAGCACAAGTCTGAACCAAAAATATTTAAACTCAATCATCAATCTGGAGTTTGCAGTCTGAAAAAAAAAAAAAAAAATAGGTCAGCCATATCAGCAGAAAGGCTCTGGATCAAAGGGTACCCAAACTACAATCCAGAGAAAACATGAAGAGCTGTCAAAGAGTTCGACCAATGGAATAACATAATATTCTCACCAACATCAACCTTAAAATCAAACATGGCTGCCATGCATTTGAAATGATTTATTTCTGCACTAAAAATAAATCAGTTTATCAACTCGTCTGGTAGTTTATGTATTTTTACTCAACTATATTGACACCTTCCTATCGCGAACATGTTTCTGGTTTGAATGCAAAACTTGCTGAGATTAAATTTGGTTTTAGATTGCAATTCTCTCAGTAATTAGTAAATCACAGTTTTCATCTTCTTTTAAATGAAAAACAGTTAACAACACAATCCAAACATTGAAACATGGTGGTGGAACATCATCCTGAGGTCATGTTCTTCATAGGCGGAGACTGAGAAAGATGACCAGTGCAAATCATAAGTAAATTCTTAAATGAGACCTGTTGGAGTCTCCCAGACATTTTAGACTTTGATACAGCTTTATGTTTCAGTAGAACAATGACCATAAGAATATAACAAAAAACAATACTGCAGTTTAAGAGCGAACCAATGTATGTCCCAGAATGTCCCAGTTTCAAGACCAAGCCAGATTATTTCAATTAAGAATTGTTAAACATAAATCATGTCCATCTAACTAGAAGGAGAACATTATTTCATACACATAGTGCTCAGATTTTAGGAAATGTGGAAAAGCCGCTCAGAGAAGGAGCAGTAACCAACGACAAGAAAAAAAGGAAATGGAACTTTGTGAAGGGGAAACGAGAAGAAAAAGTCAACACCTCCAACAGATGTTCAGCATTAAGTGCTGCAACACTTTGCCAAGTTCCATATCCAATTATGAAAAAGAAATGTTCCTTGACTGTAGCTTCCAGTGAAATTCCACATTCCTCAATGAGTGCAACACCTTTGGTAAAGGGAAGAAAGGCACAGGGAACAGTGGCACACTATTCAGACACCTGGCACCTGTCAGCATTTCAGTGAAGCGACAACCTGACATGCTGCCACTTTGTCCGCTGAAAAAGCAAATACCAAATCCATGCACTTTGCTTTTTTTTTTCTTTCCACGTCTTTAGGCTGAGGTCACGCAAATCCTAGACAAGCTCTCATCCGCAGACACATTCAGACAGCCATCGATTCTCCCTCACACAACCCACCTCCATTCCCTCACAAACACTTGCATCGACACACACGTGGCCGCACAAACATGCACAGTCTGTCTGGAGCGTCAATTCAGTCCCCCAGGGAGCACGTAGGGTGACACCACTAACAGGCCAGACCAGACTAGACAGCCAGCAGACAGATAAATACTAGGCACGACTGAATACCAAATGCACTCCAGTCTACCAGATCCCCTCCCATCCCCCCTGCCTACAGTCTGCACATGCACACACACACACACACACACACACACACACAGAGCCTCTCTGTGTGTCTCCTGGGAAGTGTCTGTCTCATCGTGTATTTGAGGAACGCTAACTTTAGGTTGATGGGTCTATCACGCTCGGCACGTGTGCCTGCGTCTATTTTAGGAGCAGTGAGTGGGGTTTCCTTTCTACTGATGCCTACTCAGAAGTTCACTTCGAGCCTTAACGCTCTTGTTTCAGATTCATTCAGATCAAAGCTGCTCATGCAACGCAACCTTCAAATCTTTTTTTTTTTTTTTTTTTTTTACAGAGTTACAAACAGGCAGCGAGGAAAAAACAGCGTCATCATGAGATGTACATGCTGGTGCAGCTATTGATAGTACGGAAATCGAGACTCTATTTGAAGTCACGGAGGCCTGTCATGTACAAATGTGTGCATTCAGTTGTATAGTACAACTGAATGCTGGAAGGTTTATGTCTGATGTTAGAGAAGAGACAGTGAATGCAGAAAAAATGATTTGAGGTCCATGTGGGGAAAATTAAAAAAGCAACACAACTATAAAATTCAAAAACGCACCCTTTTCCAGTGCAGTTTCCCCATGTAAACCTGTAACTGTTAAGCTAGACACCACTTCATAGCGCCATCTTGTGGCTGATATTTAAAAAGGTCTGTTAAATGCACCATCCTGGAGTGAACAAAACTGTTTCACTGACTGCTTTAGTTCACCTCCCATTTAGGCCAGGTTAATCCCTTTTCTTTCTGAACTGTCTCCTGATTCAGCTTTGAGTTATAAACACTCCATAGACATGCAGAGAAACAGAACACAGGCTTGTTCATGGAGATATGAAAATATTTTAAAAATGAAGGTTAAATATCAAATACTGTTCTAGACTTCCAGGATGGCGTGGTTAGGGAAGTCACAGGGACTCAGTAGTGTGAAAAAGTATTTGTAAATTTAAAGATTTCTTCCATGTTTTCTTTTATACCTCACTAAATGTTTTAGATTTAATGTTTTTTTCTTGTAGACTTGATCAACTTGTTGTAACTGATGGATCCTTAAGCGTTTAAGGAGAATGTCCAACTTTTTACTCGGGCGCATTTGGGTTATGCAGAAGAATGATAATTGAAGCAAACCTCTAAATGTCTAACTAAAACAAAGGAAATTTTGGATTGTGAGGGAGCATCATGACCTATGACTGCGGTGAAAGACAAACCATTTGAGGTGCAACAGGAAAGTTGTTGGTCAAGGAGAAAGGATGGGAGGTCTGATTGGCTGGGGGCAGGAGGATGCTGAGGTTGTACCTGAACTTAGCTTATTCAAGACTGAGTTCAAGTACCCGACCACACATCTTTTACTGTTCTGCTGGAGCCAGCTCTCCATCTACTTCCTGCATGCCTCCTTGTTACCTCTAAATTTTGCTTTAAGCTGCTTTTGCATACTTCACAAAAATTCCCTCCGGGTTCGTCGTTGGGAGAGCACCTCACTGTTCTGGTGAGAATGGTGCTGTTCACAGAGGTGCTTAGATTCAGTCATGTTACAAAGAACTTTAAAAAGGCCATGCATATCACTGTTCCTATTGTACCTTTTTTGCCACACTTTTTCCTCATACTGACCTTTGCCTTCATACACTTGGATTCAACTCTCTCTTCAGCTCCATGACTGCATATGTAGCGTCACTGTAACATAACATGTATGCATCTAATTATATTTTCTGTAATATTCAAATTTTGAGAAAAAAAGGCTTGGAATATATGACTCTGAATCTATGTAATGTATGAGTTTCACTTTCTGAGTTGGATGTAGGCCCCAAAATGCTTGGAGCCTACTCCAACCTTGAGCTGATTCTGTGGATGAAAGTAACTCCATGCAAAATAAGCATTTCGATGGATGCTGAATTTACAAATCCCAATAGAATTGGCAAGAAAGACCTGTAAGACATAGGCAAAGTGGCAATAAGCAGTAGATAGTGACTGATTACAGACATGGTAAAATGTTATGCAACAGTAAATGTACAATGTTGGTTTGTAATCTTCAACAGAGCTAACAAAATACCTTAGAATCACAAAAGAACTCACTGAACCTCTCCTGGACCCAACCGTCATGTGATGCGCACTACAGAGGCAGTTAGGCTTGAGGACAATCCATTTTGCCTGGAACGCAACATTTTCAGCAGACCTATAGCTCTGACTTCCTTGTGACCTCTATGTGTACTAAGTATGTCATTACAAATGTCAGAACAAAAAGAAGGAGATGACTCAGTCTTCATACTAGATCAAGAACAGGACTCATGAATTCACCGCGAGGCATTTCAGCCGCTGACAAGCTGGCAATAACAGACAATAAAAGGATGCGTTTGTTTTAAGCATCCAGTGGAACCTGCCATCTTGAGCAAAGTACCGGTGAACAGAAAGGCCTCTCCAGTCACAAAGCAGAGCGGAGAGCTGCGCTCGATGAAAAACAACTGGCACGCCACATCACATTTGCTGCTTCTTGCCCTTGTCTGGCTGCAGCGCCGTGTCATATCCTGTCCGCACAGGTGCACCAGCTGTCTGGCTTCCCAACTCTGTTATTGCCGCACACAAACACACACCTCTCTTCCACCCCTGTCATTTAAAAAAAAAAAAAAA